CCCCAAAAAAAAATTAAGTTTGTTTTTTGAAAAAAAAATTCAATTTCAAAAATTATTTTCTACTCTAGTAAAAATAAAAGATATTTCTCAAAAATATTTTTTCATTCATAAATCAAACACTAAAAAAAAATTTCGGAAAATATTTTCTACTCACCAACCAAACATGAGAAAATAAGTCAAAAATCAACTTGTTTTCTAGGAAAACATTTTCCTTCATACCAAACATACCCATAGTCTCTCTTACCTTCCCCATAGTGCACTACTTTGTTAGTATTGTATTGTTGGTGTTCTTACTTTTTAATAAAATACAATATAAATAAATATTGATATAAAATACAGAAGATATACTAAATTGGATGTTTTTAGTTGGAGTATTAGATTAACTTAAGGGAATGTTCTAATTTCAATGAACTTTGAGATTGTCAACGTTTGTAAATCAAAGTTGAGTTTTTAAGAAGAGAAGAATAGAAAACATAAAAAAAAACATAGTTTAAAAATGTGAGCAAAACCCCTCCATTTATAGTTAAAATTGTGTAGTATTAGTATGTGCATATGGTTTCTTATCATAAACCATCGGAAAAGTCACAACTCTTCAGAAAGGTCACAACTCATCGAAAAAGTCAAAACTCTTTGGAAAAGTCGCAACCCTATAGAAAAGTCACAACCCTTCGAAAAAGTCACGACTCATCGAAAAGTTTATAACTCTTCGAAAATGTCACAACCCTTCATTGTGAAAAGGTGACTGCATTTAATATAATATAATACAATATAAAATATAGAAGATATACTATATTTGGTGTTTTAAGTTGGGGGTATTATAATAATTTAACATTTAAGTTAAGTAGTTCATTCTTTTAAGGTAGTATATATATATATATATATATATATATATATAGTTAGAAGACATAAATATCAATTGAAGTCAAATCAAAGATGCATTATGCATTTTCACAAAGTTGGTACTCGTTGATAATATGGAAGGGGGGAAAATATTTTAGTTGTAATGCACCAACAAAATTGGTAAAATGGGCATATAGTTTCCTAGACTCCTATAAGCTTAGAATAAAAATGCAAAGACCTTAGAATAGAAAGCGATAAAATATCATAATTGATACTTGACCCTTTTTGACAACTTATCATCAAGGTGGAAAATGTCCGTGTCTTACTAGTACTTCTTATCACAAATTTGGCTCATGTTACATGCTAACCACTCCATTGACGACACGGAACTTAGTGATAACATGGATATTTCATCCATTTACTCAAAATTTTGAATTCGCCTCGTCCACCCATCTCACATGCTTTTTGGTGTCACATGTTTACAACATCCTTCGAGAGTGATAAATCTAATCCTAAAAATTTATGATCAGTTTAAATTACAAATTAGAACTCGCTTATATAAGGTCGTAATTGTCCTGGAACACCAACAAATATGGTGGTTATATTCTTGTTTTGTTGTACACAAACGGAAGTGATTGAAAAAAAAACAAGCCGAATAAGGAAATAAAACAGAATAAAATCAAATCAATTTAATTCACATCACTTCCATATACTTATCTATTATCAAAATTCTTTTAAGTTTTACAGCGTGATACATTAGATGATACAAATCATAACTAAATTAAATGTTCCAAAATAATTTCAGTGATTAATTTCATCAGATGCACCTTGTGAATTTTCACAATTTCAAGATTCCTTTCGATGACTTGGATAGCTACTTTAAGACAATAATAAAATTAAATTTGAAAAAAAAAGGAGAGAGAGAGAGGTACCTTAAAGCATATGACATCTGTCTAGAGTGTAATAGACACTTGAAACATTTAACAACGACGGAACCTATAGAGTCATTACATCAAATAAACTATTCCATCACAAGTCAAGTGACTAAACCTTAATGACGATATTTGAGATAAGACATTGACACAAAAGAATTTAAAAAAATATAAACTTAGATTTTATATAAATTATTTATATATATTCAATAATCATCATGGCCCAATAGAGAGTCAAATACACCTATATAATCATCAAAAACTAATCAATCACAGTAAAAAAGATCGAAATGTCATTTTTTTTTCCAGCTAATTAGGTTTTTCAAAGAAAGAAGAAGATCAAACACAAGAAGCTGAAATCTGAAACAAATTCAACTGCTTTCAAGAAATTTAAAATATTAAAAAACAACTTCCAAGAAATTTTATATAAATTATTTATCTATATTAAATATTTGAATATATAAAATTTAAGTTTTAACTCTGTAACTATTCACAAGTAAAATCTAAAGAAGATAATCAATGCACAAACCTTATTCGTACTTTAGGTAAATAAAAATATCATTATATGCTAACGTGGTTTTTTTTTTTAGAAGAAAAGGAGTGTTGAGTCAAAGATAAGTGCTCTAATGTCCGCAAGTTGTACATATTTTGGGTGTTCCTCATGATTATTAATGATATCGAAGTATTAGCTCTATTTTGTCGTTATTAGGCGACCGTATCCACCAGCTTACTGACACCACATCTAACTCTTAAAACCGCCTAACAGTACTCTCCCAATGTGGAAAAGAAATTAATCCTTCATTTCAATTTATTAATTTATTTGATATCGTATGATTAAATACAAAATTTAAGGGAAAAAAATAATTTTTAAAATTTGTAATTTAAAATGAATCTTAAATATTTATGTGATTATAAATTATTAAGAGAAGTATTGAAAATATTTTTGAATTTGTTGCAAGTTAATAATTTCGTTCTGAATTATCGATAGCCTTAAAAAAACAACCCTCTTTGATTAACTAACTTTAGATTCACACCCGATTTGTCACATGACACATAGCAAGTGGTTTCAAACTCTTGTAGGAACATTGAACTCTTAATAAAAAGTCGAGAGAAGTGTTCAAAAATACCCTTAAACTTGACAAAAATTTAGGAGTATATTTCACTCATATTACAAGATCGATGGTGTATTTAAGTTCAGTTAGTCAAATAAAGACACATTTTTAAGGATATCAATAATTTGGAGATAAAACTTATAACTCACGCCGAATTTAAAGCTATTTCTAATATTTCATCATGGATTAAAAGGAATTAAAAAAAAAAGCGTTCCACGTAAAATTGGAACATATAGTTATGCATATACGATCAATACAAAGTAACATAATCACATCTCTCACGATTGGACATAAAGAATGAAATTATTGATTTAAAAACTAAGAGAGATTAGTTAGAAGAATAAATTTCTCCTTTTATCAATAAGAATGACACATAGTTATCTTTGACTTGTCTTATCCACACCAAAATGTTGCAACATTTATTAGAGATGGAATGTAGCCCCAAACTAAAAAGATAAAAAGAGGTCCAAAGATAGAGATGTCCAAAAAAATGATCGAACTAGAAAAAGATACACGATAGCTTAAACGATTGGCTTAAATTAAACAACAAACCACAAGTCTCAATCACCTGAGAGTAACCAAACTAGATATTTGTTGCATGCTTGCCTTACTATATAGTGAAGTATCTATATTAATAAAAGCCCACTTCTTTAGACAAGTTTCAAATAAATTAATAATACTCTTATTTCTTATCCCCCCATCAATAAAGTTATGGAAGTAGCAGAAGATAGCAGTCCAGTTGAGTGTTCAAAGAAGAAGAGTCATGAAGATGGTAAAAGGTTTAGTGATGAACAAGTGAAGGTACTTGAGTCCATGTTTAAACAAAAGACAACGCTTGAACCTAGCAAGAAGCTTGAACTGGCCAGAGATCTCGGGCTGCAACCGCGGCAAGTTGCGATTTGGTTCCAGAACAGAAGGGCAAGATGGAAAACAAAGCAACTAGAGCATGAATATAGACGACTCAAAGATGAATTCGACAATTTAGCTATTAAGTTTGAATCGTTGAAGAAAGAAAAGGAATCTTTGCTCAAGCAGGTATCTTATTAACTTTCTCAATATTGCTCGATCCAAACAAGTTGGAGTTAGCTATATATAAATGATGTATTTTGTTTTGGAACAGTTACAGGAACTAAGTGATCAGATGGAAAACAACCATGCTGGTTGCAGCAGAAGCCAAGATTCAATTGACAGTGAAATCTATACAAGCTCAGAAAATATAGAAGCAGAAGTAGATGTGAAGGACAATATCCCAGGTTGCATAAATACGAGTTTAGACCACGAGAGGATTAAGGGAGCAGATAGTGACATAGAAGGAACACTATTTGAACACTTGAGGTGGAAGGAGGAAGAAGAGTTTTGGAACATGGAGGAATTAGGAGACAGTTTCTTAGGATCACCTGAGCACTGGTATGCTGTAGGCCCAGGTTATTCCTTCGACCTGTCATGTGAAAATTCTAAGTGGTGGGAATTTTGAACTCAACATATACATCAATACTTTCAAAGGAGTAAACAGGTGATCAAACTTCGATCAACAAAAAAGTTTATGTTTTCTTACTCACATTGATGGAGCCAAGGTTGTGTGCACAGAATAGGAGGGACTTCATTCCCAGTTGATCTTTCTCCCATTGTGCCGAGAATCTGGAAGGAGCTTGCCAAAATGATTTGCAAGGAAAACTAGTGGCATAACATGAGAAAGAGATGCACTAGCCTTTCTCCCAAAATGTCACAGTGATGTTTCTTTCTTTTGATAATGGATATATAGCTTGTAATTTAGTTCACAAGAAAGAAAACAGTGTATATAGGGCTTCTATGCGTAATCACAATAAAATAAAATGGATGTGCCATAATCAAAAGTCAGGTCTTAATTTCTAGTTATGTGAATAGAAAAACTTTTAGTAGGTTAGCATGTAAAAGTGTGTTAATGTTTTCCCTTAACGGGTAGTTTCATGCATATTGCAGCCGCTAATGACGAACTTTAAAGCATAGGGCTTGATCCTAACTTGTTGTGCACTTGACAAAACTCAGCTGAGTAGAGCAAATGGAAGTACTAACATTTTAGAACTTATGTTATATAGTGAAACAAACATCGAAGGATGGAACGAAGTCAAACAAGCAAATAAAATACAAAAGAGTGCCAAATGATAGAGTGTCTTGACTGCAAAAATGCAAACACCTGTTTACTTGATCTTCTTCTTTGGCCTCAACTGAAATAAAAGTAAGAAACAGAAGAATCATTTAGTATGGAGTCTAGTAATGCACAACAGTTCACAAAATTGACCAAGAAGATACCTGGTTGCTATGGCCACACTTCTTTTTCCTGCAATTGACAGCACGAGGGTGCAAACGTGCATAGCACCTGCAGCAAAAAAGAAAATGCATAAATACACCCAATCAGAAAGAATAAAAAGACCACAACTCATTAGTCATGCAACTTAAACCAATAGAACACGATATCATAATGCGTAGACCAGTGATGGGGCCTAGACAAATATAGAGGAATTGACTTCATTTTAGCACCAAAAGTTTATTAGTTGTGCAATGATCATGCAACCCTCTAGAGATAAGGACGGTAAAAACTGATCTGTTCAACAGTCACTTGAGCAAATAGAAAAATGTCATGCATACCATATCCTAGCCACTACCTTGCACAGGATAGCTTCCATATCATGTCTACCAAATGGTACAAAAGTAGCTCAAAAAGAGGACAATATAGAAGAGCTATACTGGCAAACCTATACACCGTTAATAGTTTAAGGGGAAGGTAAATATTTAGCAGGTTTCTGTCCCTCCCATGTCCTCAAAGTGTAACTTTGTAGTTTTTTCTTTGGCTAACATGTGCATACGTTGGTAAAGGATCATAATTCCATAGCTAAGTACAATGCTCCATACATACAAATCGATAGCAGCAGCTAATAGACATTAATTTTCGTCTGACAATACAACTTCACCCAAGGTCATCATATATCTAAGAATGACCACCAGGACAGCCTTCCAGGTTACTTTTCCATGTCATCACCATGACATAAATTACTCTTGTACCAATGCAGAATACAGAGGCGAAAGACAATCACCGTGCATTACCAGTGAGAACAAGAACAGGAATAGCCATCTACAAGCTTGACCTCACAGAAAAAAAAATGGCATTTCACTACACAGTCATTCTCCCCGCTTACTCTTCTGACATATTAGCAATGCATTATGCATCCATGTTCAGGACCTAGGGGAACAACAGATAGAACCTACCAGAACTATCAAGACTTTGCAAAATACCAATAGCTTCAACTTTACAATCTCAAATCAGGATTAATTGGAATCGACTACATAAATATTCTATAATCCATTCACATGTACACTTCATTCCAATACTACAAGTGTGAATATTGAACTTACTTGCGGCAAATCATCTTTTCCTGGTTGTATTTCCGGGCCAAAGCCATAAGAGAAGGTTCAATAATCCCACCGCGAAGCCTCAGAACAAGGTGCAGAGTGGACTCTGTTTGAAGAAAATATCAACCAAAATAAACTAGCAAATAAACCAATTTAAATTATCCAATTTCATTACACACAGACCTTTTTGGATATTATAATCTGCTAGCGTACGTCCATCTTCAAGCTGCTTACCAGCAAATATCAAACGCTGCTGGTCCGGAGGGATGCCTAGAAAGTACCCACCAATTTTATGTTTCACAGTAAAGAAATGAGAAAAAAGAAAAAAAACGATTTAGGATTTAACAATTGAGTACCTTCCTTATCCTGAATCTTAGCCTTTACATTGTCGATTGTATCGCTGGATTCAACCTCAAGGGTTATAGTCTTCCCTGTTAGGGTTTTCACGAAGATCTGCATCTTCTTCAATGGAGTGTCAAGCCAGTGCGAGGCGAGGGTGGGCTTTGTTCGTGTTATCAGTTATGTTACAGGGGAGGGCTTATAGACTATAGTGATGTGGGCTCACGAAACATAATTACGATACTTAGAACCCGTTTGGTCCCAAAATATTTGGGAAGTAGTATTTGATCATATAATTTGATAATATATATTCCAAATATTAAAAAAATTAGTTATAGTTGGGTCAAGTTCTAGTATTTGGAAACTTTAAAAAATTCAAAAATCACTCCAAACTTTTATATTTTATAAAAAAATACTCATTATTTATTTATTTCAATTAATATTTATTATTATCTTTTCCGAAAAAAATTGAGTTCTAATTTGAGTGATAAAATTGAGAAAAATAATAATTTGTGTTTAATGAGTTATAATTATAATTGAATTAATGACAAGTTTGAGTATGTGATTATTGTATTGTCTTGCTTATATTGTTATTGTGTTATTGTTGATTGTTATCAATTATATTATAAGGTTATTTTTTAACAGAACATATTCATTATAAAATGATAATATAAATTTAGGGGTATTTTTAATCATTTTTAAAACTTATAGGTATAAATTATATTTTTTGAAATAGTCAAATATTTTTTAAATTTGGGGCTAAACACGTGGTGAAACTTCACAAAAACTTCACCCAAATATGATTTGAAAACTTAGCATCAAACGCTATCTTACTTAGAAATCTCTATTTTCATTATATTTCACCCGTTTTTAGCTCATGTTTGGATATGTGATGTGAAATTATGGTTTTAAAATTAGATTTTGACATGTGACTTGGAATTATGATATCAAATATCAAGTTTTTCATAAAAACATGATCTCAAGTTATTTTAGTTTTTTTTTTTTGTCTAAAAGAAAAAAGATTCATATTCGACATGGAAAGATTGGTTATACCATGGACTATATTAAAGAATAACTAGTTAGTACTATTGTTAACTAGAAGGTCTTTATGAATTTATGTGTCTTTGAAAGTTTATAATTGCATATATTTATTTATAAAAAGAACATGAACATATGTGATTTATCAATGCGCTAACTTAAGTTATTTTGATATCTTATTTATAAACTATGATATTCTCATTTGATAATATTGTGAAAGAATTGGAGAAATTTTGATAGTTTTTACACCTTGTGGATTTGCATGTATATGAGAAAAAAATAATTTAAGAAATCCAAATTACATGTAGAAACAAAATTTCAACTTCAAATCGATGTGATTTCAAATTCAAATTGTATCATACTACATTATTTTAATGAATATAATGTTTAAAATAGATTATATCGTTTTTGTGGAAACATAATTTTACACATTAATAACTTAAATAATAAATCTATAAGAAAAGTACTAAATAAGGTTACAATTTAAAATGATAAAGATAAATAATAAATATAATTGTTAAATAATAAGTAACAAATAAAATGATAAAAATAAATGTAACATTACAAATTTACAATGTGATCAGAACAAATTGACTATTACAAAAAATGAGATTTTCCATTATTATAAATTTAATAATATCATATAGTAATAAATTTTAATTAGCAATTAAAACAGTATTTAATTTAAAATACAATACTAACAACCATCCAAACAAGCTCTAATAAGGAAATATGTTTTTCGCAGCGTGTCAAAGTTGACAAGTGTTTTTCATGTACAAATTATAAGGTATGCTCCTTATAAGTGCAAAACACACTCAACTCTCAAGACATAGCTTCAGATTTAGGCTAAAATGGCAACCCAGAAAGGGAAGAAGACGGTGCTAAAATTCGACTCCGAAGAAGATGTATCAAAGGCACTCGCGAAATACACTGCTGATCTATCGGAAAAATTCATCAAACAAAAAGGTTCTTTCACTGTTGTGCTCTCTGGTGGTTCTCTTATCGACACCATGAGGTAAATGTAAATTTTATTGATCAAAAACTATTTTTAGGCTTTTATTATTCCCCTTTAATTTCAGATTTCTTGTTGGACAGGAAATTGGTAGAGCCGCCGTACAAAGACTCAATTGAGTGGTCGAAATGGTGGATTTTTTAGGTGGATGAAAGAGTGGTTCCTCTAGGTCACGATGATAGCAATTACAAACTTGCTTTGGATGGGTTTCTTTCTAAGGTACATCAATAGATCAGATTGATTCTTCCTTTTTGTGTTTCCACTATATTGTTGAAATTGGATTTGCTTAGTTTTGATAAGTTTTCAATTTCATCGGATAAGCTAGTTGTTTCTGATGCACATGACTTTACATATCAGAGATTTGAATCAATTGGGTGATAAGACTAGAGTGGTGACCTCCAGAAATTAATTGGATGATTGGCTTCTTTTGGCAGGTTCCAATCCCCTCTTCTAACATTTATGCGATTAATGACAAGGAGTCACCTGAGGGTGCAGCAGCTGATTATGAGGCTCGTCTGAAAAAATTGGTTGAAAGCAAAGTTCTCCCCTTGTCAGCTATTAGTGGATTCCCTAAATTTGATCTTATGCTATTAGGTATGGGGCCAGATGGACATGTAGCGTCTTTGTTTCCTTCGCGTCCTCACCGCCATGAGAAGGAGCGGCTGGTCACCTTCATTACAGACTCACCAAAACCTCCTCCACCAAGGATTACTTTCACATTTCCGGTAATTAATTCGGCTTCAGAGATAGCAATGGTGGTCACAGGAGCAGAGTTAGCTAATATGGTTGATGTCGCTCTGGGTAATGCGCCTCCTCCTGATGGGATTCCTCCCCCTTGTACTGAGGTTTCAGCTGAAGAGGAACTGACCTGGTTTTTAGACAAGGATGCTGCATCAAAACTACAGACCTCTGGATGATTTTGCTATCTATGTGATATAGTTAATAAGGGTAATCCAAATAGGACTTGGGGTATAAAGTTTGGTGCCCCTTGAATGTGTTGCCTAGTGATGGTTAACCATCCTTGCTTGGTACTTATTCTAACTTTTAACTTTATCCTCTAGAAGGTAAAAGTTATGTAAGATATGAAGAATTGCATACTCTATAAGGTTTGATAACTTCTCTTTGCG